TATGTAGGAGGATCATAGACTGAGGCTGGCCCTAGACAAAAGTGAAAAATAATCTAAAAGTAAAAAGGCTGGAGGTTGACTCAAATGGTAGAATGCTTGCTTAGCAAATATAAAGCCCTGAGTTCAAAATCCAGTATGACAAAAGAAAAAAATAGGTGTTTATTTATCTTTTTTTAAGTTACAAAGAAAAGAAAGGCTTTTTTTTTTTAAAAAAAAAAAAAAAAGCTTAGAGAAATGGCAAGTTCTAAGTTAGGAGCAATACACAGGAGATACCAAGGAATCTTAGGTGCCAGAAAAAGGACTGATATCAAAGATGGATGGTATCTCATCAAAAGAACACAGGATGCCATCTGAAAGAATTCTCACTGGTCCAGAATGATCAATTTGATCATCAAATAAACAATAGCAATAGATTCAAATGCACACACAGGTAATCCAAAAGTTAATAATAAGGCTGAAACAAAACAAATCAACTTCTGAAATGGCAAGGTAAATTTATTTTCCTACAAAAGCAGTAAAAATACTGGCTGGGAAAAAAGGGCTGGGAAGGTGGCTCAGTGGTAGAGCACTTGCCTTGCATGCTTGAGGCTCTGGGTTCGATTCCTCAGCACCACATAAGCAGGAGAAAAAAAAAAAAACCAGAAGTGGCTCTGTGGCCTAGTGGTAGAGCGCTAGCCTTGAGCTGAAGAGCTGAGGGACAGTGCCCAGGCCCAGAGTTCAGGTCCCACACCCAGACCCAAAAAACAAAAAAATAATAATACTGGCTAAAAAGGATATAGGAGCTGGGCATCAGTGGCTCGCTCATGGCTGTAATCTTAGCTACCCAGGAAGCTGAGATCTGATGATCATGGTTTGAAGCCAGCCCAGGCAGAACAGTCCCTGTGAGACTCTAATCTCCAATTAACCATATGTGGTGCTATGGCTCAAAAGGTAGAATACTAGCCTTGAGAAAAAAGAGCTCAGGGACACCATCCAGGCCCTCAGTTCAAGCCTGACAACTGACAAAAAAAAATTATATAGGATGAGCATTTCAAAATTACAGACTTAATAAAGGCAAAGAACTAGAATATCTGTTCAAACTAAGCTTCTGAGCCTTGTTTGATAGTGAGGGTGGCATTTTTAGCTGGAGAAATTATGCTTCTCCTTGTCATTTCAATAGTAAATTTTAGGACTGAAAATAACAAAAAATTTAAAATATTAACAACTCTTTTTTTTTTTTTTTTGTCGGCTGTGGGACTTGAACTCTGGGCCTGGGCACTGTCCCTCAGCTCTTCAGCTCAAGTCGAGCGCTCTACCACTTGAGCTACAGTG